ATCCAGGTTTATCCAAAACTGGTTTCGGCCATTTCGAAAGCGGTTTATGTGCACTGAACTTCTGTTGTGTTACAGATCTGAACCGGTTTCCAATCACTTATACCGGTTGTTGTGTAACCTCTGTCCTTAGCCACGGTGGTTAGCACAGGTGTTGTGTTTGGTTTGTATTCACTCTAACCACGTGACTTGTGGCAAACGAGGCAGGCAGAGCCTTTGCTATGGATTCCTCCAAACACACAACAGCCAGGACCAAATTTTGCAAGGAAATTTGAAACTGTTTTTAATAACTCTAGTGCCAGCGTATCCTTCTTCACCATCATCACCCCACTCGCGTCACTGCCCTGGGGCGTGCTGTCCAGAACCAGGCTGGGAGCAGCATCAGCATCTAGCAGGGCTAGGGACAGAGGTCCAAGACAAGCCAGCAATGGGAGCCATCTGGATTCAACAGGCACTTTTTCAATGCAAGAAAATCAACTGCAGTCTAATGCTCTATTTTTTTTAGTGCATCATTTCACATCTATATTTGAAGCCAGAAATAGGCCCTAATAGAATAATGTATGGATTAAGTCATCAAACAAAGCGCTGATGTCTCTCTGGAGCAGGTAGCAGCAAGGCAGCAGCTGTTTCTAGGAGCAATTTTGTTTTAAGTGGTGAAGCTGGCAGGCACGAAGTTAACATTTAGCTACCTGCTGCAGTTGTGGCCCTCAGTAACAGGAGGTGCGGAGTCAGCAGCCATGTTTCTATCCAAAGGAGATGGAAGGAACAGAACTTCTGCCTTTAAATTCATCATTTAATATACTTGACACAACCCTTCTGTTCATAATCTATATCCACATGAAAAAACTGCAAGCTACCCCAAACCTCAGGGTGCTTCAATAGTTTCCGAACAGTCAGGAGGAACTTGTTGACAACAGCAGCAATTATTTAAATCTGTTAGTGCTCTCAGGCATGAACAGCTTGGCATCAAATCCAGATGGAGGTGGCTTTTCTATGGCTTTGTCTTTCCCCCGTGGACGTCAGGGCAGCCTGCAGCACAGTCACCTCTGCTAACCCTGCTGTAGGCAGAGCAAGCGTGTACACGGCCACATTGGTCTCACCTAATCCAGCCGGCCTCTTGCTGGGGGGAGAGAAGACGCTGCTCCCATCCCAGCGGGGATGACACCAGCGCGTGGGCCAGGATGATGCGTCTCTGAAGACAGCGTCTCTGGAAGCAGCATGATAATCGCTGCGTGGAGCAAGCAGGGTTAATCATGTCCCAGCCAGCACACAGCCAGGGACCAGTGCTGGGGGGAACCAGCCCTCAGCTTCAGACCAGGACTTTTCTCCTGACAGCAAGACAAAGCCACAGTTGTTACTGGGATCAACCAAAGGAATAAACCCTCCTTGGGGCAATGTACTGTGATACTTTCATGCCCAAAAGCACTTTCCCAGAGGGGTTACAACTCTTTAGGCACAACCACAACAGTGGATTTCTTATGGAAACGCCTGGCTTCTTTCAACCCACAAACCTCAACTATTAAAATCTGTACAGACTACCCTTGCCACCCAGGGTTTTTCTTTAGGACGGCAGGAATATTATATCTAGTTTCTCCCAAGTAATTCTGGTCTCTTGGGTGCCTGTACACACCACGGGTTTTAATCCTCATTAAAATAAAGAGGTTTATAAAATTTAAACTTATTTTGGAGTGTCGCATCTGTGTTTGCATGCACTAGGTTTTTGAACAAATTAAGCTTTGGAGCATCGTGTCAGTGTTTACATGCACTAGGTTTTTGAATGAATTAAGCCTGGTCTCCAGCCCACACTGCAAGAGAGGACGGTCCAGCACTACCCCTCGCCCCAGCCCAGGGCCCCTCACCCTGTACCCTGTGCCCCATGCCCATGCTGCAGGAAGCCAGCAAACCGCACAAGATTAAAAAAAAAAGCGGAAGCCATTCGAAAACAAAAGCAATTAGAAGGGGTGAACTACAAAAAAGTCGCAGCCATCTGGTGGACAAAAAGGCTCATTACACATCTTTGAGTACCTTTGTGTTTGCATACAACGAATCCATGGATGCCATGCTTTAATTCCCAGTGAGGCAAACTAAACTACGTCCAAGGAGATTTACTTTAATGCACAAGAAAGACTGTTAAAGCATCTGAAAATCCTGCTCGTGCAAACAGACATGCAATTGCAGCTCATGAAAGGGCAAAAAACGTGGCATGTACAAAGGCCCTGACAGAAGAGGAAAAGCGAGTGTTCTCCATAAAGGGGACTTACATTAACAGCCTCCAATCCCCACTGCTTCTGTCCGGGAGCAAACGTATTTCAAAGTCCCACTGGGATTTGTCAGGTTATTAGCTCAGCCCCTAGGAGCTTTTCAAGGCTTCTCTGCCCCCAGGAGAGCACCTGCCTTTGCATGGCAGGCATCAGCTCCTTCTCCTGCCAGAGCTGGCTTTCAAGGACACGGCTCCAGGGTGACCTGAAAGCATCTACCCAGGTTCAGCGTGTCTTTGCTTTTTAGGCTGCAGGTGCACACGGGAGCTGTGGGCCATCCGCGCCTGTTGCTCCCGAGTCTTTCTAGCACCAAGGTGTGGTCAGTAGGACAGGCACAGCCCTCGCTGACAGAAACACCAGATGTGCTTTGCAAGGTGATGGGGAACCAGAGCGAGAACTGCAAGTGCAGCCTGGGTAATAAGCACCTGATTTCCATGGCTCCTTTGCCCCCAGTGAGACCCTGAAGTCTTCGTCCCTTCAGTTCCCTTCCCCTGCACTGTTATCGGCTTCCAGCAGCAGGAGATGGGGAGAGCCAGGGCTGCCCTCTCTGCTGCTGCTGCTGGGAGCGCAGCCCTGGTTCTCCCCTGGCTCTCGCTGCTGGCTTCGAAACTTTCAAAACGTTTCAACATTTTTGAAATGTTCAAGTAGCCTTGTTTTGTTTCGAGGCTGTTTTGATGCCCTTCATTTCGATTCAATCTCGCTGTTTCGAGCTCGAAATTAGTCAAAACATTGTCGAATCGAAACAACCGGAGAAATTTCACACAGCCCTAATTCCCAGGTGCACCCCTGAGTCTTCACTATTTACTCTGTAAAAACCAACTGGCCAGATAACAAAAACTAATCCATTTGCAAATGGATTCTTGCTCACTTCATTCCTACGTCCTAATCCCCTGAGGGCAGGACCCTGAGCCTGTACCGTGCCCAGGGCAAGGGGACCCTGACTTCAGCTGGGGCTCCCTGTACTGCTGTAACCCAAACAAGAGCTTCCAGCTGTGCTAGAGCCCAGATGGGCAGAGCAAACCAGGATGTCCTAGGAGCAGTGAATCATGGGATTCATGCAAGTAGTTATCCAGGGACCCAGGAGGTCCCCTCTCACCCTACGATTCTGTGATAGCACAAGTCACAGGCCCCCTCCCCACATTCATGTCATCTCAACCCTGGAACAAACACCAAAGGAAAAGGACACCGTGCCACCCGGTTTTTTTCCTGTGCAGTAAGATGAAACACGCTCCAGCCTGGAAGGAAAGATAAACTCCAGGTGCACTCATGCTGGGAAATGCATCTTCAAGGACTTTTAAAGCTATTTTTCATTCACTGAAAGAACAAAGAAAGGAATGCAAAGAAATACCGGAGAGCACATATGGCCTAAAAAGGAGCTTTAAGTGAGGCTAGGAAAACAGACTGGAAAACATGGACACGAGTTGTCTTCCTGGCCAGGGCAGGAGGGGCTGAGCCCGGACCTGACCAAGCAAAGCAAGGGGCTCAGCACCTTTGTCTCCAGAGCTGGGCCATACAGGCAGTCATGGACTTGCATCCTCTTGTGCTGCACCCTGCCCAGTTGTGTGTGCTGGGCTCCTGCCAGGCACAGCCGGCCTGAAAATCCCCTTTGGAGGGAGACGTTCCCCCTCTTGCCTGCAGCTGGAAGGATCACTAGTCTCAAGCAGGATTTACTTTTCCTGGTAAATGTAGGGGGTCACTGCACGTTCTCCCTATACCCATTTCCCCAACTGCTCTGGTCCCTGCTCTTGACCTGTACACACTCCCAGGACATCAAATGGCCCCCAGCAAAGCCAGAGGCAGGATGAGCAAGACTTGCAGAGGCAGCAAGGCAGGGGGAGAGAAACCTGTGCAGACCTCAAAGGATCCCGTCCTTCGCGTCCCCCAATACATCCATCCCCAGGGAAAGACCTGGACAGTGGCAGTCTCCAGCAAAGCAGGTCATCGACCTGCAGCACATGCCTAAGGCAAAGTGAGATGAGAGGACGTGCTGACAAGGCTCATTCACCTCCCTGCATTAGCTCTGGAAGAAGAAATGCTGCTTATAATGGGACACTGCCACGGGTGCCATCACGATGAAATATTTTGAATGCCCAGGTTGACACTTTTCCAGAGTGGAAAAGTGCAGAGATCTGTGTCCTGCAATGATTACTAAGTTCAGTTCTTCTGCACCTTCTCTAAACGAGCAGCCCTGGCTGCTATACAATGCAGAGCATCTCTCTGAAGTCTCACGATGTACTACCCAGCTGCAATGGATGCAGATCTCTGACTGAGCGAACACACGTTATGTGGGCAAGTACAAGTCCATTTAAAACCCTAAGAGGCGTGCAGGATACCGGGGTGAATGCGAAGTTGCAAGATATACAGAATAATGAAGGCAATGACATCTTTACTTTAGGAAATGTTCCTAGCCAATTTCTACCCAGCTCCCCGCTCTGAATATGCTTACGAGCAAACCAGCCGCAGCGACTCGGACCTGCAGGGTCCCAAGCAAGCCACAAAATCACGCTGCAGTCCCGATACGCGGGGGCAAGGCTGCTGCTCGAGACCCAGAGAGGCTGTCGTCCTTAAAAAAGGCACGTTTCCCCTTCCACGGGCAGTGACAGACAGGCAGGATTAGCTCTCTGCTGCAGATTTCTCATTGCTGTCTGTGTGTCTGGTGCTTCTTGACCTGGCTCTAGTGACTGGGGGTCTGTGCGGGAGCGTGGCCCGTGGGCTTGGGGAAGGAGGAACTACCCAGCGACTTACTGTCTCGCTAACACGGCGTCAGCGGTCTCTTTTCGGCAGCACTCTCCCTCTGTGCAGGGCATGCAGCGGGGTCGTGCACGAGGAGATGGAGAAAAATACCAGCAGGGGGGCCTTAAAGAAAAGAGAGAGAGAGAAAAAAAAAAGCTGAAAAATGTTTCCCTCTATTCAGGACGAGATGAATCTGTGGTTTCTATACGGGGCATTTCAAGCAGTCTCCGCCTCTCTCCCAGTCCAGGAAGCTAGCTTACCAAGATAACAGGTCACTGGACCAGACAATCTTGTCAGATGTGGCTCATTCAGCATTTGCTGTAGTTTAAATACACAGCAAACAGACACAGATGGAGGCATTAACCTGTAGGACACCCATCGCACCGCTCAACCCTTCGCCTGGAGAGATTTATTAGCAGAAAGACTGGCTCGAGGAAGCGGCCCCGTTCTGAGCCCTCCTGCACTTGGCTGTTTACTGTGTTTTACGGCCAAATAATTAATGAATCACTTTCTTCACTCGGTTAAACCGGCGCAAGGCTGCGTGGAGCTGCTCCTCCAGCGTGACACCGGTGTAACGGAGATGAGCTCTTAGCCCGCACGCTCAACCCGGCTGCACTCTGCTTCGAGAGCTCAGCCCTGCCCGCTGGAAGTGGCAACTCTCATCATTAAATGGATTTACACAGTAAATTATTGCCAGGGAGCAGCAGCATGGTTTTGTGCGGCAATACGGATCGTTATTGCTAGCTGTTGCAGCTCCTAGGGAAACGGGGGCTTTGATTCGGAAAGCCAGTGCTGCCCGACACAACGCTACGCTGCGCCGCACGGGGCGGTGGAGTAAATAGCGCGACTCGCTGCTCTGCAGAAACGACGTTTGAAGGATCATCAAAAACTAATAGAAGCAGAGGAAAGAAAACACTGACCAGGCAAAGCCAGTGTTTGAGGAGCGGAGGTGAGTGTCTCTCGGTGGGATGAGAGGTGGCTGAAGCTGTTCTGCATTAAGTCTGCTGCAGCCTGCCACGTCTCGAGTTTCCTTCTCAATTACTCGTGCTGAGCTTTGTGTACAGCATAGCTAAACACAAGGAGCACGAACACGTGTATGTAAGAGTAAAAGATAAAAGTGACTGAGACCTTTTAGTCCTTTTCTTCCCCAGATCTCCATGCTTTTTAACAAAGAAGGTAAGTGCCCGCAGGCTGGGTTGTAGCTGGAGGGACACATGCCCCTTCCCTGCTCTGCAGGCCAGGTTCTTGAGCTACACTACATTTCCCATGATGCACCACACAGGCTTGGCTAGATGCACCGCCACAGTGCATCTTGGGAGCTGTAGTTGGCTAGGGAAGAGCATTAAGCCCTTTAAGTACGGCCCCCACAACTACGCTAGGGCGTTTCCTAACCACTACGTTTAGTTTTTCAGCCAAAAGACTGAGCTTTCCCACTGACAGCGTCTTGCGGGGAGGCATATTTGTGACTACCTGTATTGTTTTATATAGCTTGCAATACCCTCTGGGAATGCTAGCCCAGACCAAATTTGAGTCTGCGAACCACCACGGCACCTGGGCAACTCTGGGAGCTCAGGCAAAGCACACGGTTACAGAACGACCCACCCAACGAGGGTCTGACCGTGTCTAGGAGACCTAGCCTAGGCTTTCAAAAGGCCTGGCCACCCACGGCCATCACAGCACTGTCCGTGTCCCTTGTTGGACACGAGACCCTTCCAAGAGGAAACCAAACCAAACCCGGTCTGTCCCACGCAGATCTCTGACCCTGGAAACAGATGTGCCAGAGCCTCCAGCAACTCTGCTACACCGCAGTCTCAAGCTGCAGCAAGGGAGGTTGAGGTTGGATATTAGGAAAAACTCTCTCCCTAGGAGGATGGTGAAGCACTGGGACAGGCTCCCCAGAGAGGTGATGCAGTCTCCATCCCTGGGAGGTGTTGAAGCCCCGGGCAGACAAAGCCTTGGCTGGGATGATGCAGTTGGGGCTGGTCCTGCTTGGAGCAGGGGTTGGACTGGATGTGACCTCCCGAGCTCCCTTCAACCCTCATTTTCTGTGATCCTGTAACTCCATAAAGTTGCTATCGATTTTAGGTGGTAAGCCTCACTCAGCACAGTAATAGGTAGCAGCATAAAACCCTGTGACAGAAATGAATCAACACTGGCTTATGGATAGAAAACGGACCGCGTTGGTCACACCGAGGGCAGAAATAACAGGTTTTGACCTCTCAGGGCTGCAGTTTCCAAGATGACTAAACCAGCTGGTGACAAGCAGTTCAGAGATGCGGGGAATTCACAATGATTGAGACAGGTGAGATTTATGAACTAATAAGGTAGAGCACACAGTAAAGCCAGGAATAAAATGTTAAGAGATCAGAAAAAAAACTAGAACACATATTGTACTCCGATATGAGACGTGCAATGCACAAACAGACAAGAAATGTGATCTAAAGCCATTCACACAGTGTTTAGTAGCAATATAAAACAAAGGCAGAAAAGGTTTGAAGTCTATATAGAGCTACTGATACGGAGGAGAAAAAAAAAAAATCAATGGAAGTTATTTTGGCAAGTGATGAGACTCTCATAGAAAATCTTTGTGAAATCCTGGGTTTCATTTCATGAACATTTGGTAGCAAAACTGACCAAATGTGAAATACCACGTGTGACACTGCCAAGAGGCTTGGCGCCCAGGTCTGCTGAACGGCAGAGATTGGGGTAATTTGCTCATGTTAACATTTCTTAAAATGCAAAGCACCGCGAAGGACCGCACCGGGTCTGAACGATTTAGAGACGCTGCGGATCCCGGGGTCTAGCTTACGAATCACGTGTAGGTGCTTGCACACCTAACAGTGCTAATAGCGCCCGGCACCTTTGAAAAGACCTCGTGGTACCTCGGTGCCTCGGCACCCGGGTTGAGGAGAATCGCGACCCTCGGTCCCCGGGGAGCGTTGCTCCTTCCTGATGGCACAGAGCTGCCCAACGGGTTCAGGTGCAGGCCGCGATGGCTCTTGGAGGCACCGATTCCTTTACACCAGTGGTTTTCAACCTGTGGTCTGCAGACCCCGGGGGGTCCACAGATTATGTCTAAGGGGCCCCTGAAAGATGATTAGGATCCATCAACCGTTTGTGAATACCGACACTTCCAATTCAAAGGGGTCCGCACCTCCATTCGAAATTTTTTCGGGGCCCACAAATGAGAAAAGGTTGAAAAGCACTGTATTGCAAAAATACGGTGGTCTGGGACCGGGCTCCTCTACTGAAAACACTCTGGGGCCTGCTTCTCTTTAAGCTTAAGGATAGCTCTGCTGCAAACAACAGGACTAGCCGCGCGCCGAGATCAGGCCCACCAGCGCTGGCACAACCAGGGCCCTAGGCACGGTCCAGTAAAGGGCAGGAGGCCTACAGGTCGTCGCGGCGGTGCCCGAGTCCCAGGAACGGCGTAGCCTCCTTCCACGGTGACGGCCGAACCACCAGCCACAGCATCAGGACCCCTCTCCTTGCTCTCTTCCCTTATTTTGATCCGTGCCTTATTTCTTTAGGGATCCCCGCTCTCTCTGCCTAGCGTGCATCAGACAGCGAGAGCAGCAGCCGTTCCTGGAAAGCAGTCTTTTTAGGATCAACTTTAAAAAAAATGGTTTTCCTTCCACCAAAGCCCATTTGCGTTTGGAGTCCCAGCAGCACGTGCAACGTCCGACGATTACTCCTCGGATGCAGTAACTCCGCAGCTAATTCCTGCCTGGTCTCTTAACTGGACTCGGCAGTGGAATTATCAGCCGACGACAGCAGTTTCCTCGTTCAAAGTCTAACGCACGATGAAAGTTTCAACAAATTCTATAAATATTTAAATGAAATATAATCTGCATCTGCTTAGCGATCTGCATTAAGAATTAAACTGCCGTTCTCATAAAATCTGTAGACGGTCAAAGCGTGTGCACTCGCGGCTAATGTTGGGGCATCGACATTTATGTCGAATGGATCAGTGTGCTTTTTGCAGTCTGCTGTCCAGGCAGAGCTCGGCACTGCGGTCGACTCCCCGTCCGGAGGGAGACGCCGATTTAGCAGCTCAGACTCGTGTTCAGAAAAACCTGGCTTCAGACTATCGCACAAACTGCCTTTCCCAGTTTCTTTTATCTTTATTCCTACTTTAAGTCTATTTTTTTTCCATACGTTTGCTCCGTAGATAAGATACTCGAGTTTATGAGTCAGCCTCCTTCGGATTTCTTCCAAATTTCACTGAAGAGACTTGCAAAGCATCAGCCCGCTTTAAAAGCAAAGCTGTCCGTGCCAGCTCCACGTGACTCGTTCGGAAAACTGGGCTGCCACGTGTTTGAAGACGAGTATTTGCCTCCTTCGTGAGGGCAAGATCTTTAAATGCTGCCGGTTGACTCCTCTGGTGCCGTGCAAACACAACACAGCAGAGGAATAATACGTCGGCCTGTGCACGCGGCATACTCTTACCCACACCATGGGTGCCTCTGCACTGCCACATCCGCAGCGCCTGGAGAGTTACCCCACGTGGCTGTCCGACTGCCCGAGAAGCTGAGCAAATACCCAGGTAACTTGTCCACGCTGAGCTCCCTGTTCCCGCAGCGGTTTTGTAAAACAAGATCTACATCAGACATATGCTGCAGCATAAATGGAGTAGAAATACCCTAAGACCGAGTGACATGTCGCTGCACATCCACACCCCGTTCACTCACAACCATACCGTGTGCAGCAGGACCAGAGTAACAACCAGCTCCCCCCGGCCCAGCGGTGTAGCGCGGACACCACCGTGGCGGGCTCTTTCCCCGGCGGATCTGTGCAACGGGGTTATTATATGCTGGGCTGCCGGGACGCCACAAGAGCAAACATCCACTGAGCTGCAGCCTCCTGTTTCAGCAGGGAGTTTCTTTACAACCCAGTTCACGGCAGGATGGCACCTGCACAGTCCACTGACTTCAGCAGGGCAGAATCACGCCTGCAAAATGAGATCCACGGGTGTCAAGTCTGGCGAGCCTCAGCCACCGCTTTTCATAGAATCAGAGAAAATTCGGGTGTGAAGGGACTCAGGAGTCACATCTCATCTGACCCCCTGCCCACACCAGGGCCAGCCCCAACTACATCATCCCAGCCACGGCTTTGTCCACCCG